AAAAAATATGAACAACAAAATGGCAACAAATACATACCTATCAACAATTGAGTCTAAAAATCAAAATAAACAAGAAATCTAATGAACAGAATAAACTGGTAAATAAAATAGAATCAGAGGCATGGAAATGGAACAGACTGATGATTGTCAGAGGGAAGGGGGTGGGGAGGCAGGAAGAGATTAAACAAAGATCATATATGCATTACCTATGGACACAGACAATAGGGCTGCAAAGGCCTGGGGCAGGGCGGGAACCCGGTAGAGGGGGGCAGTGAGGGGGAAAAAGAGGACTATCTACAATACTGTCAACAATAAAGATTTTCAAAAATTTTGTAAACAAATGAATAAAAAGAGAGAGAGAGAGAGAAATGGAAAACATTTTATGAGAGAGGCATGGAGCTAACCAAAATGACATCATTATTTTAAAAGTTGAAGGAACATCATGCCTAGCACAAAGTTCCCATTAATAAATTATTGAAGGATCAAAGAAAATGCCACCATGCATCACCACACATTTACTGGACATAAAGTCAGGCACTTACTTAGAGTTCATTTAGAACTGCCCCAAAATGAGCTGACTCATTAGAGTTCTATTGGCTTCAGAAATATTTTATAGGTCTATATAAATATAAGCCCATTGCAGTACTAGTTCGTGTAGCTCATTTATATTTGGCTCTCAGCCAATGAGGACTAAGAGCCATTTGTGTGTCCCATCCCAATCACTAATTTATTCTACCAGGTTCCTCTTTCTGCCATTACTTGTGTGCCAGTGAACATGTTGGTTCAAGATGGCTAATCAATTGTAATACTGCAAATTCTACAAAAAAATCAAGGAAGATCCTGGATGACAACAAACAACGTTCACTGCAATAGCTGCTAAGTCTCCAGGAGAGAGAAACCCATAACGGCAGGTTCTGGTTGCCTGGTAGAAATCCTTCACTGGAAGGTCAGCATAAGACTCCCTGCAGCCCAGAAAGATTGACCAACAACAGTATGAAAAATAAATAGAAGAAATGTACGGCCAGAGGCACATCACAACTTCAGAAGACTGGAAGAGAAAGAAAGACAATTGTCAAAGTATGACATCAGTAGCATATCTCCCAGGTATCATGGTGTAATAATCCTTATAGCACCAATTTAGCTAATATGATCATTTCCAGGAACAAGTTCCCACAATAAAAGGGGTATGCCTGTAATTTAAGGCTGGGGGTGGATGTGGAAGAGGATCCAAAACTAGTTCTATTTCAGATGCCCTAAGAGTCCTGAAATTAAGGATCTCCTGGGGATTTAGGGAAGTTGACTTTCTGAAAGTAATCGCAGCTCTTTAAGGCAATTGTGTGACACAGAGGAGCACTACTAAAAGAACCAGTTACTTTTATTCAGCACAAAAGGACAACTTTATGAGTAATTGTAGTCACTCTTCATTATTACTAATAAAGTTTGCCTGATTTATTAACATCATATCCACAACATTGAAATGGAAAGAAACATACACTGAAATACTGAAACAAAATTTAAGTACCAGAAATGATTATTACCTGTGTAGGGAAGCATTAGGGCATCATGGTGCAAAGTGTGCACTTTGGGATGGGCAGTTCGGGGCTGAATCCCAACTCCATCATTTACCATCTGGGAAAGTCACATTACATTACATTACATTACATTACATTATATTACATTACTTTCCAGGCACCGTTTCTCATCTGCAAAACAGGTAATAATTGTAGTTCTTTACAGAAATTTGGTGAGTGAGAACTAATAAGAGAATACATATTGAATGTTTAGTTCATCACTAAGCCCACAGTGAGTGTTCAACAAATGTAGCTTTTTGTTTTGTTTTGGGTTGTTGTTTTTTGGGGGGGTTTGTTGTTGTTGCTGTTGTTGTTGTTGTTGTTTTTGGTTAATCCTCACCTGAGAATATTTTTCCATTGATCTTTTTTAGAAAGACTGGAAGAGAGAGGAAAAAACAGAGAGAAACATCAGTGTGAGAGAAACACATTGATTGGTTGCCTCCTGCATGCACCTTGCTCAGGGCCTGGGCTGGGGAAGAGCCTGCAACCAAGGTATGTGCCCTTGACCAGAATCAAACCTGGGACTCTTTGGTTCACAGGCTGACACTCTATCTCAGGGGTCCTCAAACTTTTTAAATAGGGGGCCAGTTCACTGTCCCTCAGACCGTTGGAGGGCCGGACTATAGTTTAAAAAAAAAAAAACCATGAACAAATTCCTATGCACACTGCACATATCTTATTTTGAAGTAAAAAAACAAAACGGGAACAAATACAATATTTGTATTTGCATGTGGCCCGTGGGCCGTAGTTTGAGGACCCCTGCTCTATCTACTGAGCCAAAACAGCTAGGGCTGTAGCATGTATATATATATATAAAATATATTTTTATTGATTTTAGAGAGGAAGGGAGAAGGAGAGAGAGGGAAACATCAATGATGAGAGAGAATCATTGATGGGCTGCCTCCTGCACATTCCCCCACTGGGGATCGAGCCCGCAACCTGGGCATGCGCCCTAACCTGACCAGGAATCGAACTGTGGCCTCCCGGTTCATAGGTCAATGCTCAACCACTGAGCCATGCTGGCAGGGTGAAATGTAGCTTTTGTAATGCATTTTTTCCAAAACCACTTTAGATTATTCGCTAAATCAAAGGGTAGAGCTTCATCATTAACCTTAGCCAATCCTCACTCTGGACCCCTTACAGATTATGGGAAGGAAGCAGAGAAGTTACACAGATTCCCCTTGAGATGCAGAGCTTCCCACTGAGAGATGTTCTGGGCAGATCAAAGAGTACCATATGGCAGTGTTATAATATGCCTGGTCTGTATAACACACTCTCTACTTGCCAAATTGTCATGTTATCATCTCTGGCCCCATGAAGCTTTAGCCCTTGCTCCTCATTTGTTAGATATCACTTATTCCAGCATGGCTTTTAGTACACAAGAATGGGCAAAAATCTGCACATTTTTAAAGTTCTCTTTTCCCTCTCTACATGCTGTCCCTTGTTGACCTGATTCAGTCTCAATGTAACCATTATGAAAATGACTCCAAAATCTAAATGTTTGGCCTTGGCCTCTTTCTGATTTCTATATATCTGTTAGGCATCTTCACATGGACCTACCAACATCTCACACTCAAGTCACTCAAGTCCAAAGTCAAATATACATTGGCCACTCCCGTCCATTATATTCCACTAACTTTTCTCTGAATTAATGGCATCACTGACATTTTTCTACTGTATAAGTAAGAACCCATCATTTGACTTCTCCCTTTCCATTGGCTCCTGATACCTAATAATTAAATCAATCCACTCCATATCTACCATAATTTGTTCAGGTATCTCTTCTCTTCCATTTATATTTGTCCTACTCTTGTTCTTTATATCTTTTATCCAGATTCGAATATGTAACAAGTAATTACTAAGTATTTACCATTAGCCAGATGTAAGCTCTATATATTGGAAACCCAGAGATGAACAAGATATACAAGGTTCTTGCCCTCTTGCAACTTTCATTCTAGGCAAGGAACACAGATTTTAAAGAGTTTTAAATAGTGAAATGGGCTATAAATAAAAATAGAACTAGGTGGGGTTGGGGAGACAAAGAGAAGAAGATGAGGTATGACAGGTTGGGACTCTTTGAGGAAGGGATATGTAAGCTGAAGCAAGAAGCCAGCCATGTGAAATTCTGGGAGCAGAATGTTCTAGGTAGATGAATAGCAAGAACAAAGGCTCAGATGTCTGAGGTCAGACTAAACTTGGCTTATTCAAGGAACCAAAAAAGCCAGGGAGTTGGAGCCTAATGAGCAGACATGGGAGTGTAGGTCTGAGAAGCAGACAGAGTCCAAACTGTGTGGGGCCTCATACACCAGGGTAGGAGTGTAAATTTCATTCGAAAGTGTAAAGGGAAGTCAATAATACACTTAATGTTAAGTGATATGCTCTAGTTTACTAGTTTTTTAAAGCTGACTTTGTCTTCTGGGGGGAGAATGAATTGTAGGAGAGCAAGACTGGTTGTAGGGCAACCAGGGAGCATAACATTATAGGGATCCAAGAGAAAGATGCTGGGGGCTCAGACTAGGGTTAAGGGAAGATCAATGAGAAAAAAAATGGTGAGGATTTTGAGTGCATTGTGGAGGTACTAGTGATAGTATTACTATTTGAATCTGCTAATGTTCTCCCTCCTGCTTTTCATCTCAATTCATTCAACACAAATCTGATAATGTCACCCTTCTAAGGATGCTATCCTTTGCCCAGATATGCTAATTGGCTCCCCTGTTATGTATAGATTCAAAGCCCTATGCTATGTGGCCACAACTTCTTTAAAGATACATACAGAAAAGGAGAAAAGAATAACAAAGCTGTTCAAAAGTTCTGAGATAAGTCATTTCACAGACAGTGCTATTCACAGAAAGTGGCACTGGCTTTTGATACGTGAAGAACCACCATTCATGGCTCTTTAACTGCTCCCAATCTGAGAGGTTCTGTCCTAAATGAAAAAGCCACAATGCATCAACCCACTGGTTGATGCTTTAACATCCAAGGGAAGTTCTAGTAACTAGAAGAAATTAAGTAACTACTTAGACATACATAAATAAAAAATTGGTTAATTTTGTTATGATCCTTGACTTTATCCATTTCCTGAAATATAATATCCAATTATAATGCAATTGAACTAATACCTCACAACAAAATTTACCAATCAAGTTAACTATAAAAATGGAGAACTTGATAGAATAAAATCACATTGAATAAATATATAATAAATACATAATTGCTTGTCTTTCTGTCTTAAGCAAGCATTTCTTGGAAATAGAAAATTCATGTCAGGATCATCAAACCAGACTTGAGAATCACCGGTATTAATAATCAAGAGTAACAGAAGGGGGCAGTGTTATCACAGTCTCTTACATGCACTGGATGCCCTGAAAGAGAAAAACAGAGCTTTATGCAGAGTATCCCTGTTCATTTATGCAGGAGTAGGAAGTGAATTTAGTTTCATTGCTTTTTTTCTTTTCACTTGTTAAGTCTCAACCCCCCTCCCCCAAACAAAGTTAGTAATAAGTTCCCTTTGATATACCACCCAGATATGTCCTGCCAACCCTTGTGAGAAAAAGACCCCTTCTCACTGTGGTCTCAAGAAATACAAGCCCAGCTCTATGTTTACATTAGTTATTGTTTTTCTCTTCTACAGAATGGATGGTGAAAGAAATTCACCTGTACTGACCATATGAGCAAAATGCTCTATATTTAACATATTTTCATCAGACAGGCCCTAAAGGTATTTTGTACCACTAGAAAAATAAATATACAGCTATACACCCAGAGACTTACTCAGAAACATTTGCTGAATGCTTGGTATATATAGAAAAACAGAAGGAAACAGCCCTAGCCCTCAAGACAATTTAACAGAAAACTCTTGAGAAAGCTCTATGCAGAGAAAGGCTGGAGAGCATCCCTAAAAGAGAGGTAAACATATTTAAAGGAACCTGAGAAAGACCTCAACTGGCTGTCCTCAGAGTTTAAGGTAAAGGAATAGCAGAGAAGTTAGGGGAAATATCCTGACTAGACAATGTTGTAATTGTACCTTGACAAACAGTAGAATCTTGAAAAATAGAAGCTAAGCTTCTGTGGAGATGGAAAAAATTCAGTTGACAATTTGGCTGGAGCCAAATGCACTGTGAAGGAAGAGTGGGGGAGTTGCTGAGGAGTTGAAACTTAAATTTTAAACAATGAGTAGTTATTGAAAGATTTTGAGCAGCCACTTCTACAAGATAATAGAAAGCTCACCCAGCTATCACCTTTCTCACTTCTCAGAGAAGGGACCTACCACTCAATGATTTCCATCAATAGCCCTACTGAAGGGTGTGGCTTTGACATTGAAGTTCTAATCATTTCAGTATTTACAGCACTTTTGGAAAATATTTTTTCCCCTGCCCCAATCATAGAACAAAGGGAAATAAAGGAGAAATCTGCTTTATGACCATTTGGCAAAGTAAAGGAATGCATACATTTAATGGAAACCTTGAGTGGCAATCACTGAGGCTCCCCTACAACAGAGAGTAGGGATGCTTTATGAGTATTGCAGTGTGTGTCCATTCATTCATTTATTCAACAAATATTTGTTGAGCACATTCTATGTTCCAAGAACCATTCTAGGTATTAGGGATACAACAGTGAACCCAAAAATAGCCAAAGCCCCTACCTTCATGGAGTTCATGTTCTAGAAATAAACAAATAAGCATATCCTATGTTAGATGATGATAAGTACAAGTGTGAAAAATAAAGTAGGTGAGAAGGATATCATTTATCATGTTGCAGGGGAGGGCAAAGGGAACAAGGAAAGAGGTGGGATAAATGTGTGTTCTTTAGTAGTTTAAGTTTAAAAGGCTTTAAACTTTGGTAGGTGAACTACAGTAGGAAAGACATTCAACAGTCAATAGTAATGATAATACATACAATAATAGGTACTATTATCTCATCTATAGTGACCGTTGTGCTAAGCATTATATCATTTATTCTTCACAATAAACCAAAAACATTATTAGTGTGATCCTTTAGGTGCAAATGAAATTGAAGATAAGAAAGGGAGGGCGGAAGGGAGAGAAAAAGAGGAAGGAAGGAAGGAAGGAAGGAAG